TGAAAAGATGTAATCGAATTTGTTTTGGCGTACGAGAAGTTTGAGCGGAGATATTTGACTTTGAAGGCGATGCGGTCGTGCCGCCAGTGATTAGCCTTTTACTGTTATATTATATATAGATGAGCACTCGGATGAGCACACACAATGTAGGCCACAGAAAATGTTACATCAACCGCTCTAAATGAGCTCATGGAGTAATTAAAAGAATGCAAAGGTATTATACTATCATGTCAACTATATTTTATTGTTAAAATGTATTTATTTGACTATCATTTGAGAATGTTTTTAGAATAGTTTTGGTTGACTATAAATTTGTTTATAAAAACCGTTAAAAACCCGCAACACCTGATCATTCATTCTGAGATTGGGCCGCCTGTGGGCAGCCTTGTGTAAAATATTAAAAATAAGCAGCCCAAACATGTAGATTATTCATTAGAAACATGTAGATTATTCTCGCAAAGCAAAAAGCAACCTTACTGATTGTTAAATTTGTGGAATGTCGTTTGTATTCGAACGTATAAAGTCAAAAGTGCAAGAATATAAATATATAAATATTTAGTATGTGTGTGCAACGGAGTCAGTATGGTTGCCCTTAACAGACAACGGGAAAATATTGGCAAAATAAATCATATTAATAACTATTAAAGTCAAAGAATTATCAAAATTTAAAACCTTGAACGATATAAAGCAAATGACTAACACTATATTTCACAAATATTAATACTGTATTAATAGAGTGAACATGTCATGCCGTCAACTCAAGTCTTCACGCGATGGCAGCTCTTCTAGATCTCCAGCGCAGAAAATCTTTTTATAGCGGAACAAACTAAGTCTAAGTTAATCTCAAATAGTTAACCCGCACCGTAGCACGAGAACGAACGGAGAGCCTCATTAACTGAACGACAGTCCACAGGCGGCCCAATCTCCGAATGGTCTATATATTTTGAATATTTATACGGAATATTTAACCGTTATAATATTTAATAACGAAATAATTCAAAAAATATTAGCAGTATATGTAAAAAATATATCTATAAAGGACTAACTTGTTAATAGAATGCATTTGTTGTGTTTCTGAGTTTAGTTGATGCGATTGCTTTACGTTTTCGTCGTACTTGAACGGTCGTCAGTACTGGCACTGGCTACATAGGACATAAATAACTACAAGGCTAGCCACTTATCTGATATACCCTCTGACATCGAGTCCAATATCTCGCCTCAGAATCGTCGCAGAGCAATAAATTTCACATCGCCTAATAGTACGAGCGTTCTTCTTTCGAAAGAACTTGGTTTGTTCACCATTGCAGCAATTCTCGTGACACATGCAAGACGAACTTTGTTTGTCCAAATTCCAAAATTCCATTTTCGAAAGAGGCGCTAACTCCACGATCGTTGCCACGAGAGCGGCACAGCAACCTGGCCTCCTCGTTTGAAAACAAACCGCCAGGGGGGGAGGATCTGCACTGGAATGAGGGGGCTTTCAAAACAACACGATAAAAAAACACGATATAAATAATAAAATATACGGTTGAAGTGTTGAACGAAGTCAAGTTCGATACTTTAAAAAGATTGGTATGATTGTCAAAAGGTAAATGTTATAATAAGTAAATAATGTTCTTGTTTTAAAAAAGATGTAAGGAAAAGTTCATATTAAACAAGATATTTAAAAATAGGACTGATTCAAAACTTGTTTATTGTTTCTTGTTTATCGTCGAATACGGATGATAAAGTAATTATTTCTATTTATATCGTGTTTTTTTATCGTGTTGTTTTGAAAGCCCCCTCATTCCAGTGAAGATCCTCCCCCCCTGGCGGATTGTTTTCAAACGAGGAGGCCAGGTTGCTGTGCCGCTCTCGTGGTAGCCTGCATGGCAGGCTGTATTTCTACGGGCAGCGAAAATTAGGGAAGCAAAGGAAATACCGTCTGCCGCAAAACTAGGGGTTTTTGAATTACCCGTCCGCTGGTGAACGGGAAAAACGGATTGG